GATGACAACGCCAGTGACCAGCAACTTGACCCCTACGGAGATATCGACGCCAGTAACCAGCAAATCCACTATCACAGTGATAACGCCCGTGACCAGCAACTCAACCACTACGGGCATAATAACGCCAATGACCAGCACCTCTACGGCAGTTATTATAACGAGTAACTCGACTACGGAGATAATGACGCCAGTGATCAGCAACTCTACCATCACAGTGATAACAACGCCAGTAACTCGCACCTCTACAGCAGCCATTAGAACAAGCAACTCTACCAGTGCATCTCTCACCACCACCACCACAAAGTCCATCGTCACTCCAAGCATCGTCATCACCACCGACAGTTCCACTATCGTCAAACCTATCGCGAGCCTCATCCCGCCGCCTCCCAAGAGCACCAAATCCCGCGTCATTGCCTCCAGCTGCCCTACTCCGACCTGCTCCCCGGGCATTCAATACGCCCTATACGACAACCCCTTTCGCCGAGATTTATCCCCGACGTATAAGAGCTTCTCGGCTACCCACTTCAGAAAGACTGAGCCCGTGTACAACACAACGCTGCAGAACGCCATCTACATCGCAGATCGCTACCGCGGTAAAGGCAAAGGTTTCAACCCGCTCTTTAAAAACGCCGCCGCTGGCTACCGCGGCTTCCTGTTTGTATGCCAGGACGGCCGCTATCGTTTTAACTCGCCTTACTCAGACGACATCACCATTATGTGGTTCGGCGAAAAGGCCTACCAAAACTATACGCGCGGAAATGCCGACATTATCCAGTTCTTCTACGGCGATAACAAGCCTAAGAACATTTATAGGGACCTTAAGGCAGGCACGTACTATCCTATTAGGGTGCTCTGGGGCAATACGGGCGGCGCGTCTTATTTATCGCTGCGTATCTATGGGCCTAACGGCGAGGACGTGAGCGGCGCGGACCAGTCGGGCGAGCACTACCTGACGACGGAGGCATGCGATGGCTCCTATCCTCCTTTTCCACCGTGGGGCAAGGAGAGCAGAAATCGACGTAAGAAAGGGAAAAAGACTAGATTGCCGGCGAAAAAGGATTAATTTTCTGATTTTCTTTTATTCCTGCTGCCGATTTCTGCTGTATATGTCGGTAGTATCGTGCCTATATTACTCACGTGGCGACACAAAGGCACGTCGACTACCACCTCTACGGGTGGATCAATAATTAGAAATAACATCGTAATAAGACCTATAATTTCTCACTCCACAGCGCGGTTTATCAGGGTCGGGTAACTGAATCAAAGTAAAGTAGTGTGTATAGCCACATAGCGAAGCGTGTGTATCTCGGCCATATTCCTAGAGGGGACTATTATGGAAAGTTCCGTGGTCGCGTCGTGGTGGTAAGCGGGCATGTCGCCACAATGGAACTATAGCGGGACTACGACGCAATATTTAGGATGAACTATCCGTATAATGACCAGAAAGCTGCGGGATCCGGGCGGCTCGGCTGCCATCCGAACCACGTGCTTGTAACTATAGTTGAATAGTACTCCGTAGTAAGATCTCCTAAGCGAACGCCAAGATAAACTGGATCATGTCTTAGCGTCAAGTGCTTGAGGATATTTTTATATACTATCAGTGGTGCTCGGTAATAATACTATGTTATTACTTAGAAACTTAAATCATTAGTTTTTCGGGGGTGTCTTCACTCGGGTCCGCCGCCACAGCTGCACCGCCTGGTACGTCGAGTTGCAGGAATATTGATAGCTACCGCCTGGCTTGATCATCCAACATCCGTTGACATGTGTTTTGCACCTCGGATGATAGCATCGCGTGACTGTGGACATACTTTCGGCAGGGAATCAATACGTCTCGTCATTTCCTAGACTAGGCCGGCGTATTGACTATTCGACTGGTCCCGTGTTCAAGTCGCTAAACCACTTCGGCTGGTCGCCCTGTGCCCGCTACCAGCCCTCTATCAGCGTTGGGGAGGAGCAACACCAGTTGGACTGTAGGAAAACCCAGAGGCACCTCCATGAGGTCTTGCGACGTCCGGGCTCTCGCAAACATTCCTCTTTGGAAGATTACATCTACTCTCTGAATATGTATTCTTTGCGATCAAAGGGATTTTGCCACTACCATTCCGAGTGACGCATGTGGCGTACACGGAGATGTATCTTGTATCTGATAAGCTGGGTTTGCATACTATCCTCTCGGGTCCCCAATGCAATCTCAAAGCCAAGATCAAAACCATCACACAATATGCCAGAAATATCTATGACTACAGGGCTGCATCTTCAGCCGCTGAATGAGGCGCACTTTTTTTTACTTCAAAGACCTTAACTCGCACTCTGAACTCCTTCGATTCAAGTACATCGTGTCACATGCACCTGGCCCCTAGCAAAATGGCACTGTCGCCAATACCCTTGATTGCCTGTGAATTTGCCTTTCTGCGGCGTTTGGGCTAGTAAAATTCAAGTCCAGAGGGGTCAGAGGCCAAGTCAGAGCGGGGCATTTTTACGACGGCGGTGAGGATGCAGTGCAGATGCGCTGTAGGTCCCCCTTTACTGATGGTACAGGGAGTCAGTCTTAATCAACAGCCAGTCAATCCGCCGATCAGTCAATCAGCAGCTAGTTAATCACATCTGCTAATTAACTGGCTGCTTATTAGTCGACTGCTAATAATTGATCAGCTGCTGATTGACTAGCTGCTGATTGACTAGCTGCTGATTGACAGGCTGCTGATTAAATGGTAATTGATCAAGAAGACTATTGATTGAGGCCGGCTGTTAATTGAGATGACTACTGAATTCTACCTAATAAAGGAAGGTCTTGGCTCCGCTTGAACTTGACCTCTGACACCTCTGGACTTGAGGTTTACTGCCAACCCGCGGCAATCTCAACCAGCCAGTTGCCTTGCTATCCTGCGCCGGTTCTCAACGGCTCTTTCGAGTAGATCCGTAAACCAAGGCTCAAAAGTGTTCTCCATCCACTTTCCCAGTGCTACTAGCGACGCCTGCAGTTGGTAAATCCCCACTGTGCTGTCCGTGTCGCCAATATTCCAGTCCCTATAGCGCACACGCTGCGACAAATATCAGACTATAGGACCGTATCATTTAGGGACTTGTAACTTACAATCTACGTTCCCTCGTCCACTGCGAACATGAGGGTCCACACGCCGCTCGTCACCTGGATCAGTGGCAGCGTTATAAGTTTCTCCTGCAGGCTACCCGCCAGCGCCGTTAGAGTGCGCAGACGCTTATACCACGCCGCCAGCCACACACCCAGCTACACACTCACGCCGTCCTAAACGCCTAAAGTCGTCTTAGTCTTAATAAAGATTAGTGTAGGACGCTTCTATAGTAGTATATACTATATCTAGTTAATAGAGTTCCTCTCCCTAGGCTCTCCTAGAAGGAATATATTAATAAGCGCCTATAAGGTATTAGAGGGCTATAAGGCTACTATATAGTTAATTATCTTATAGACTAATAACCTAATAGCTACTATAGGCTAAGGTATAGATATAGCTATTATATTACTATAATCTAATATATAACTACTACTAGTAGTAATAGAGATAAATAATAAGGATAGTAATAGTAGCTATTAACCTAATACTAGTAATAGGTAAAATACTAATATAATCTATATTAATATAATAAGCTTAATTATAAGTTAAGGTATATCTCTTATTACTAGCTTTAAGATAAATATATAGATAAGATTATTTTAGCTTAATTTAAACTAGTCTTTATTAGATATATTAGTAGATTTAACTATAATATAATATAACTTCTCTTACCTTTACTATATTATCTTATAAGCTTCTATAGTGCCTTAACTTTTATTATTATTAGCCTATATAGACTTAAGGATTTTATTATTACCTTAAAAATCTAAGTATAAGTAAAATATAGCTAGTAATAACTAAACCTTTACCTAAATTACTAATAATATCTTAAATAAACCTTTTATATTAGATAGTAAGGTAGTACCTAAGACTAATATCTTAATAAAGTATACTAGTATTATAAAGGTAAATAAGCTCTTAATCTTCTAGAAGTACTTTAATAAAGAGCTACTATAAGACTATAATATCTTACTTAATAGTTATATTATAAAAAAGATAAGTTATATTATAAATATAGCTTAGAAAGTCAAGGCTAACTATATTAAGTTCTTTAAAGAATATATTAGTATTTTATTAAGATTAAGAGATATAATTTTATTATTATTATTATTATTATTTTAACTTATTTATATATATTTCCTAAGACTTAGTATATTAACTATAATAATATTATTAATTTAGGCCTAACGTAGTTAATAAGCAAGTAGGCTAGATAAGTAAGTAGGCTACTCTATATAACCTTTTATCC